GAGCATTTTCTTTACCCTGAAAGAAACCCCATACCCGTTCATCAGTCACTCCCATCACGCCCTCCCCCACCCCCTGACAACAACTAACCTACTTCCTGTCTACAGATTTGCCTATTCTGGACATTTCTTATAAATGGATTCATACAACATGTGACCTTTTCCGCCTGGCTTCTTTCAGTCATGAGATTTTCAAGATTCATCAGTACTTCATTCCCTTTTACGGCTTAATTATGGCCCAACATTTGGATAGCCCACGTTTTGTTTCTCCATCATCAGTTGACAATCGGGTGTTCCACCTTTCAGGGCTTGTGAATAATGCTGCTGTGAACATTCACGTACAAGTTCTTATGTGGATGTGCATTTTCATTTCTCTTGGGCATATACCTAGGAGTGGAATTGCTGGGTCACATGGTAACTGTGTGTTTACCTTTTTGAAGAACTGCCTGACGGTTTCCACAGCAGCTGCACTGTCTCATGTTCCCCCAGTGGCGAGTGTGGTTCCAGCTTCTCCGCATCGTTTCCAACACTGTTTTTCCTTTTGTCTGATTATAGCCGTGCTAATGGATGTGAAGTGGTATCTCGTAGTTTTGATTTGCATTTCCCTAATGACTAATGACGCTGAGCATCTTTTCATGTATTTATTGGCCATTTTCATATCTTCCTTGGAGAAATGTCTATTCAAGTCCTTTGCCCATGTTTTAATTGGGTTGTTTGTTTTTGTTGTTGAGTTCTCTGTATATCCTGGACACTAGACCCTTATCAGATATATGATTTACAATTTTTTTCCATTCTGTGAATTGTCATTTCATTTTCTTGAAATGTCTTTGATTTTTTTTTTCCTGAGGAAGATCAGCCCTGAGCTAACATCCATGCCAATCCTCTTCTTTTTTTTTTTTTTTGGCTGAGGAAGACTGGCCCTGAGCTAACATCCGTGCCGATCTTCCTCCACTTTATGTGGGACACCGCCACAGCATGGCCTGACAAGCGGTGTGTCCGAGCGCGCCCGGGATCCGAACCCTGGCCGCCAGCAGTGGAGCACGCACACTTAACTGCTACGCCACGGGGCCGGCCCCGAAATATCCTTAATTTTGATGAAGTCTGGCGTATCTTTTTTCCTTTCTTTGCTCGTGCTGTGTCGTATTGCAGGAACCACTGCCCAATCAAGGTCCTGAGGATTCACCCCTGCGTTTCTTCTGGCAGACTCTCCCCTCCCCAGGGTGTGTGCAGGAGCTTGTTTGTTTTCGTGACTATTCTGAACTAATTATGCAAAGTCTGTAGTTTTTGTCTTGTGTGGCCACTGATATCTCTGTTCCATTAGCTTAATGGTCAGCAAGTGATTGGGACACTTGCTGTGTCCACTTAAGAGACACTTAAGTGCCTGGAACCAAAACAAAAGCAAACCAGCCTTGCAGACGGGCTGGAGGGGTGGCGCATTCAACACTCAGTGGACAGTTCACACCCTGCCTTCCCCTTCCCCGCCTGCTGCGCAGAGTCTGAAGGTCTGCCAGAGGAGAAAGGGCAGGGCCTCCATTCTCCGGTCTTTCCTGAGCACATGCACAGCCCCAGGCACATGCGTGGAGTCCTAGAGTTCCCGGAATTCGTGGAAGCTTCTCCAAGCCCTCATTCCGCAAACACCTCACTCCCCAGCCTCTCCTCCAGAGCTTCCTGGTTAACCTGTCATTTGCCCAACAGTTATCCGTTGCCTCAGGTAGAAATAGGTAAAATGTTTTCCTGTAAATGATTTTTGACAAATTGCCCAGGTGGCAACGTTAGGCCTGGAGAGTTCCAAGTTAGGGAAGAGAGAGGCAAGCTTTCTGAGCCACTCTTTCAGGTCAGAATAAATGATCCTAGTTCCTTGTGAATTAGGTCCACCTCCTCCTTCCACTGCAGCCCTGGCACCGGGATGCCAGACTGTCATCTTCAGGTTGCCGACGCTGAACTGGGAGCTGGAGTTAAAACGCTGCAGAGCTCGCTGCTGCTACCGTGTCAGCTGTGTTTTCTTCAGTGTTCCCTTGGCTGCTGCAAGCCTTTGGTTAGTTTCCAGAGTTCCAAAAGACTCGATTCTGATGGTTTTTACCAGCTTTTTTGTTGCTTTGGTGGAGGGATGTGTTTTTGGAGCTCCTCACTATGCGATTTTCCAGTCACACAGAATTTGAAGTGTTGGGCAGGAGGGTACCATTTTGCAGGATCCCTTGATGTTTCTGAGGCTGTTGGCCACGGTGCACGCTTGAGAACCTGAGCTGGAACTGTGTCTTCTCTCCAGGTTACCGCCTCTTCTGACTTCCGAGATTTCCTCCCGGGAGACGGGCCTGTCGTCGGCACTGTCTGGGGTCTTCCGAGTTCCCGCCCCTGGCTTGGGACCTGCCTGTTTTCTTTGCTGATGTCCCTGTTGCCCAAGCACACAGAAGCGCCTAGAGCTGGAATGCTTGGCCTCACCGTGTCACCCAGCACACAGACATCTTGAGCAGCAAATCTGGGGGAGGAACGGAATCGCCCCTCCGCAGCATGGAGGAGAAACCACAGTCGTCTCCCTGAAGGTCAAAGTCATTGGTGTTACTTATGGACCCTCTTTGAGATGGTTCCTGAGTCAGTGACCCTATTTCCAAATAGATACACAGATTTAAATGAGGTGACCCAGCACTGAGCAGAAGAATGAAAGCAAAATGCAAATGTAGCTAAATTTGCCATGAAAGTTAAAATGTCCATATTTGGGACAAAAGTGATTTGGCCTCATTAACATATTTTGTGAAGTGTCCCTTTAATGAGTGCTGAGTAAGCTGCACATTTAGGAATTTTGGTTGCTGGTCTATGCACATGCTAGGACAGACACTCATTAGGAATAGGAATAGTATTTCTTCTGTGAGCTTCTTGAACCTGGTCATGGAGTAAAAACGTGAGTCATCACCCACGTAAGAGACCTGTCTGAACTCTCACCCTGGCCTGTGCCTTCCGGAGCAGGCGTCCAACAGACAATGCCCTACGTATTCTTCCAGTTAGGGTGGGGGACACAGATTCGACATCTTTTAAATGGGATCTGGGCTAGCAATTCCTGTGCTCCAAAGATCTTTTCCCTTCTTTAACTGTTTAGAGCAGTGGACTTAAGCTTCAGGGGCCGCAGATCCCTCAGAGAATCTGAGGACCCTCTGTTAGAAGACTGTGCGCATACACAAGTGTTTGCGTAGTTGTAGAAGGCTCATGGACCCCCTGAAGAATCTCCATGGACAACAGATAAGAACCTCTGCTTTAGTGACATCGAGGCAGATGGGAGAAGCAGGCACTGAGTGTCTGTCTCCAGACAGTGCCTCTCAGCCCCAGCTGTGTGCAGAATTATCTGGAAGCTTTTTAAAAAGCAAAACAGAACCTTTTTTATTACGGAAATTTTTTAACATGGCTAAAAATGGAGAGAAAGTATAATGAACCCTAGTGTCCCCATTACCCAACTCCCCTTCTGTGAAAAGCAGGAAGAGGGTGTGTCTGCAGAGCACCTCCAGAAAGACTGGCTTAATGCAGGCCCCAGACACCCTTGCACAGTGAGTACCTCCCTGTGGACACTAAGAGACAGAAACTCCGGGTCTCACAACCGCAGTACCATTCTCATACCTCTAAAAGTTCTTTACAACCTACATAGTGCTGGGGGTTCTCATTTACTCTGTCTTTTTATGGTCAATTCCCTCTAACCTGAACCCCAACAATGTCCACACGCTGCACCTGGCTGTTGGCTGATGTTTCTCACATCTCTTTTTTTTTTTTTTTAAGATTTTTATTTATTTATTTTTCCCCCCAAAACCCCAATAGATAGTAGTATGTCATAGCTGCACGTCCTTCTAGTTGCTGTATATGGGATGTGGCCTCAGCATAGCTGGAGAAGTGGTGCTTGGGTCCGGGCCGGGATCCGAACCCCGGCTGCCAGCAGCAGAGCCTGCGCATTTAACCGCTAAGCCACGGGCCCGCCCCTCTCACATCCTTAAATGTAGAGCAGCCCCCCTTTATTTGTCGATGGGCAGGTAGGAAGCTGATGCCTACACCCAGCCCAGACCTCCCCAGGCTGAGACTCCAGGGCGCGCTTCCTTCTATGCGGTGTTCCCCGGCCCATCTGTTGGCCACTTCCCTCGTCTCCGGGAGATAGACGAGGCAGGGCGTCGCTTAACCAGGGTCCGCTCTTTGGATCATCCGTAGACCGCAGGTTTACAGGAGAGAAGAACCAAGGGCATGGGCCGGGAGAGTGCTCGGTTCGGTTCCGTCCCCAGGCCGGGTTGTGCGCGCGGTCTGGGCATTCCCTGGGCTCCTGGTCGCGGCCTTACACGTGCTCCGTTCCTTTTTGCAGGCCCAGCCTCCTGACCCGGCGCGTGCGCCCCGGCCCGGCACATGGGGCCATGGCCCTGCTCCCCGGGCACGTGGAGCCCCCGAGCCCCGAGCCCC